CTGACGCTGAGGACAAGGTTCCTGACGCTGAGGACAAGGTTCCTGACGCTGCACCATAGAAAATTATATTAATTCACTATTTTATTAAATTTTGACCATGTACAGGAAAAAACTATACATATTATAGAAGTATTCATGTTTTTTTATGCAAGAGTTATATTTTAAGGAATTTATATAATTTGCTGCTTTGTTTTTTTTTATATATTAGTATCTGAAACTCCAGCCAGTGCTTTTCACGATTTTAATAAGGAAAAAACAAACGTTTGCAAAATAAAATGTTATGTTAACTCTTTTAATAAAAAGAAATCAATAAAAGTGATCACTTACCGTTATTCTACAATAATTTATTGAACAAAACTTCCATAAGCGATTTTCACCTTTCGAACGGCGTTTCCTTTATCTTTTGCTATGAAATTTCAGCGACGGCACTGGCTGGAAGATTTTGCGTGGCGCGTGGCACAAAAATTCAGGTTATCGAGGTGTCTGTTTCCTCTCTGTATTATCTCTCCTTTGTGGTCTAGCGGTCTGGTCATAGCGTCGCATGGGTGGAAACAATGGATCAATCCCTTCTGACGATAAAGAAATTTAATTTAGTTTTTGACAGGCTATGTGAGGTTGGTTAAATATTTTAAAATAATGATTCAGTGAGACGTTAACAAAACAGAAAATATATATTCACCAAGAAAATATTGAACAGCCAAGGGCAGTCTATATGTAATTCCCTAACCTTTTGGCAATTGTTTTACTCTTGGAAAAGTGGTTAAAAAAGGTAAAGGTAATGGGTAAACCCTTATATTTTATGCATGTTTTTGAAAAGTTGCAATCGTGAAAAGTTTGGGAAAGAAAATAGAAGTGAACCGTTTATCTTTATGTCGATAGGAGGTGAAGGCTATATAGCATGTTGTGTTTTTAAATGTCATTTTAGTATTTGGTTGCCTAATTAATTAATTCCACCTGAGAGAGTAAAAGGTTAAAGAAACCAAAAAGTACAGGTGCAAAACCAGCAGCCCAGATAGTGTACTGGACTCAACACAGTGTGTGCTTGGAAACTATGGTTCGATCCCTGTTGAGCTCGGCATTCATTTTAGTGTTTCACTGCCCTATCATTAATTCCACCTCGGGGAGTAAAGGCTAAATAAAATCAAAAGTGTACAGAAAGCCCCTGCTGAACTGCAAATTCATTTTTCGGCTGAACTGTCTTATTAATTAATCAGTTCCATGCACCTCAGAGAGTAAATGGTTAAATAAAATCAAAATTATCAGCTAACAAGCAACAGCCACGATGGTCTAGTGGTCACGGCTTAGTGTCGCATGTGGGTGGATGTCAGGTTCGTTTCCTGCCTTGACAAGGACCTTTTGGTCTTTGTCAGGGGTACGAATTAATTATAGGGTAGAGAAAAAGGATTAGCTATGATGGAAAACATTAAGCTTTCATCGTTAGACCTAGTAGTCTAGTGGTACCACTCAAAGCCTTCGGGTGCTACGGTGGAAGGATCGAGCCCGGTTAAGACCGGCTGAGACTTCGTGCTCAGGTGATCGATCTGACCGGCCCTATGCGGAGTAAACAGCCTGTTGTCTTTACCACTAGACCACTTGCTCATTGTTGAAAACCTGCCGCAAACTTATTCACCTTAACCTTTTTCCTCTAGCTTGTGTAATTAATATAAGACACATTTCAAGTCCCAAAATGACTTCTGTAGGACTTGAACCACAATGGTACAATACACAGCATTTTGTGTTTACCAGTAGACCACTTGCTCGCTGTTGGTAGACGACCGCAACTTATTCGTCTTAGCTTTTTTCTCTAGCTTGTGTAATTAAAATTTAACCATTTTGGAATCACAATGTTACATTACACAACTTATGTAGACCTAGGACTTGAAACACAATGTTACATTACACAACTTGTAGTCGTTACCACTAGACCGCTTGCTCGTTGTTGGTAGACTACCGCAACCTATTCATCTTAACCTTTTTCTCTGGCTTGTGTAATTAATATTCGAAACATTTAAAGTCATAAAATGAATTTTGTAGGACTTGAACCACAATGGTACAATATATGATAGCCTGTTGTGTTTACCACTACACCACTTGCTCATTGTTGAAAGCCTCGCTCAACTTATTCACCTTGTTTTTTTCGCTAGCTTGTATACTTAAAATTCAACCATTTTTGAATCACAAAATGACTTCTGTAGGACCACAGTTATTTTAATAGATGGTTTGGAGACTCGATGAAAGTACAATATAACTCATTAACTATGTTATTGTCCAGCTTTATGCAAGAATTTGGTCCTATCTCGTCAGTCGTCACGTGTGTATTGTATTTTCGCTCAAATAAACAATAACAAGTTTGTGGTTGAGTTATCCATCCGTAACTTGAACAAATGCTCAATTTAAACATTGCTATTGGTTGTGCGGGAAAAAATACAATACACACGTGACGAGATAGGACCAAATTCTTGCATAAACCGAAACCAACATAGTTAATGAGTTATATTGTACTTTCATCGAGTCTTTTTCTCTAGCTTGTGTAATTAAAATTTAACCATTTTGGAATCACAATGTTACATTACACAACTTATGTAGACCTAGGACTTGAAACACAATGTTACATTACACAACTTGTAGTCGTTACCACTAGACCGCTTGCTCGTTGTTGGTAGACTACTGCAACCTATTCATCTTAACCTTTTTCTCTGGCTTGTGTAATTAATATTCGAAACATTTAAAGTCATAAAATGAATTTTGTAGGACTTGAACCACAATGATACAATATATGATAGCCTGTTGTGTTTACCACTACACCACTTGCTCATTGTTGAAAGCCTCGCTCAACTTATTCACCTTGTTTTTTTCGCTAGCTTGTATACTTAAAATTCAACCATTTTTGAATCACAAAATGACTTCTGTAGGACCACAGTTATTTTAATAGATGGTTTGGAGACTCGATGAAAGTACAATATAACTCATTAACTATGTTATTGTCCAGCTTTATGCAAGAATTTGGTCCTATCTCGTCAGTCGTCACGGTGTGTATTGTATTTTCGCTCAAATAAACAATAACAAGTTTGTGGTTGAGTTATCCATCCGTAACTTGAACAAATGCTCAATTTAAACATTGCTATTGGTTGTGCGGGAAAAAATACAATACACACGTGACGAGATAGGACCAAATTCTTGCATAAACCGAAACCAACATAGTTAATGAGTTATATTGTACTTTCATCGAGTCTCCAAACCATGTATTATATTAACTGTGGTAGGACTTGAACCACAATGGGTAAAATGCATAGCCTGTCTTTACCACTGGACCATTTGCTCGTTGTTCCTTCAAAAAGCATAAACGTAACCTCTTTAGTTGTTACTCTCCATTTTGACAACTGACTCACTTTAAAATATAAAAAGGTGGTTTACCTTTACTTTTCGCTATGTTTTACGTCTCTATTTTTGGCTATTTTGACCACTGTTTCGAAATATGAAAAGTTGCCAGAGAACGCTCACAGCATAAAGGTTAAAAACAACCAAAAGTTTACGGAGTTAGCCTGTACACGTTATGGCTAGTCAGTCATGTTTTAACTAGTAAATCTCAAACTCATTAATAATTCATGAGCAAATTAGCGAATGAACTCACCCTAATTCGTCACATGATTGAGGTTGGATACCGCAAGGAAACACGCTAAAAATCATATACCATCAGCCTAGTCCCAGGCTCTCTCTCTATTCGCTGCTTTGCTATATTTAAATAAGTCTTAAAAGTTTTATGCCTGGGTGTGCTGTGCGGAACGCTTCAGCGAGAGAGCCTAGCAGATTTCGGTAAAATGGTCCCTGATTTCAAAAAAGTGGTCCCTGGCCTGGTTACCAAGCATATCGCATTTGTAAATAGAAAATGTTATGGAAATTTCCCTTGCGTTTATAATTAAGTCATTAGTTTTGCTCTAATGCTGTCGGAACAATGAAATAGGCTACGTTTCGCTACCATACGGTCAGAATGGAATAACGGGCTAAATGTGAGTCGTGCATGTTTACTAAACTATAAAGCCATATTAAATGCTATCTATAAGCTTTAAAATTATGCCGAGTCTACGACTAAAAATGTTTTGACAACACATAACACAGTCATGTCAGGCAAATATTTCCAATCTCCTCAGCTACTTAAACCTGTCAAGTAGAGCCGCGTAGTTGTGCATACCATGGTCTATAGTGTTGATCACAACTTGCGAGTACATAAATATCATCAACGATTATACGACCATTGCTCAGACTCAGTATCGTAAATTTATATATATATATTTTTAATTGAGCACATTTTTAATACAGTTTGAATTTGGTTATGTAGACATCGAACATGATCAACGAACATTGTCGTATTTACAAGGTTATTTGTATATATAAATTTTCCGCCATATCAAAAATACTGAAATCTGCTAGGCGTTCTGAAGCACCTTTAGCGGTGACGTCACACCTAGGTCCCAGTCTCGTACTACATCCACGTTTTTCCTCGCGCTTGCTTCGGAACGACTGGCACTAGGCTGATATACCATCACTGTTGTTAGATGAAAAACGGTTTTCATCTAATAACTGAGATCCTAATTACAAATTCAAGTCAAAACACAACAATATACTATAATAATATATATAAGCCAATGAAATGTTTTCGTTTGAGATGTTGTGTAAACAACTCGTTTCTCGTGTTTCATCAGGGGACCAAACACTCGAAAACAATAAAACACTCGCGCTCGTGTTTCATACAGTTTTCTCGTGTTTGGATCCCCTGATGAAACACTCAAACTCGTTGTTTACATATAACATGACAGTTCTATTATGATTGAGCAGCTTATATGCATATTCCAGCCTTCGACTCGGAGGTACATATTGTGGTTTAACAGGAATTTATCCCGAAGGAGAAGACGTGATTTACAAACTCTGAATTGGCTTAACACGGAGACTTTTACAATCATCAAATTTAATGTATAGAGAATAATACATGGGTGCGCGGAAATACCAGATTTATTTCGAGTGTTGAACATGTTATCTCACGAGTGAGCGCCGCAGCGAACGAGTGAGATATCATGTTCAACACGAGTGTCACAGAAATTAAAATAATGTAGAGTTATCTGATTGAAGTAAAGTTCGTTTCGTGTACATGCCCAAGTCACATGTTTTCAAAACAAGTTTATTTTCTGTACATTTGTCCAAAATCTGCTTTTTACGTATTTGAGAGATCCGTTTGTGGGTATGCGCAAATCGAGCTTTACCCCAACTATAATTTATAGTGTATTGTAAATATAATTGTCAAATTTATAAGGGAGGTGCCTCGCATGGGTTTTTTGTCACCCGCTCCCACTTTTGGGCAATATCTATTTATTGTATTGTTAATATTATCAATAAAGTCGTAAGTCGTAGTTGTTTGTTGTTTGAGAACAAACGTAATATATCTTCATATAAAAAAAAACTCATCTTCACCAAAGGATCACTGGCGTGATACTCACTCTTTAATAGGTCTTAATTATCTGCAGAAGCCTCCTTCAGTGTAGCCTGCATGGCAGGCGATCTTTCCCAGGCTTGCCCAATTTTAGGGACTGCCTGAAAAGATAAATGTGTAACCTTTGGAAGTTTTTATAGTAAAAACTATTTTTTCTTTGTTTATAGTTGCTGTGTGAGTTCATTGGAGGTTGTGGGTTTGACTTCTTGCCATCGGATGCTTTAATGAAATTTCTTGCTCAATTTCTCTGTGGGGGTGGAGGATTCGACGATATTATCTGTGAAAACGTGATATTTTTGTTGTGTGGTTATGACTATGCCCAGCTGAATAAGGTATGCGTGATCAATTTCGTTCCCCGAGCCTGCGATCCTTGGGAAGGAACGTGAGGCTCTGGGATAATCCGTTTCAGGGAGGAATCTGATTGGCCGTTGATATGGAATGCGCAGTTCGGTCTTAGCCAGGATTCCTGGCTTCCGGCAACGGATATCCCAGAGCCTCACGTTTCTTCCCGAGGATCGCAGGCTCGGAGAACGAGATTGATGCGTAATTAGCCATTCCGAAGTTGATAAGAGGACTGGGGACGAGTGTTAAAAATGCCGAACTTAAGAAATGAACCAAATCACTACAAAGACCACCTCAAAATTAGTAAGTATACAAAGTTTGAAGACGTTTACATGAATACACTTCGAATAATAAGCTTTCCAAAATTTTGAAATTACTGATGCACGTCCCCCAAAACAAAAATGACAATACATTTCATAGTAAATATCGCGATTTTCGAAAGCTTATTATTCGAACTGTATTCATGTAAACGTCTTCAAACTTTGCATACTTACTAATTTTGAGGTGGTCCTTTTAGTGATTTGGTTAATTTCTTAATAGGTAATTCCAGCTTTTAATTTCTGCATAATCAGCAATATGATACCTTACTTCCCATCACTCCCTGCGTGCATAAATTAAAAGCTGGAATTGCCTATTTGAGCACTTTTTAACACTCGTCCCCAGTCCTCTCATTTACTTCGGAATGGCTAATTGAAATGATACTCAAGAGGAAAATTTCTGACCGTGCATGGTTTCTAAAGTCACCAAACAAAGCTAGACAAACAACATTTGATTATGATGATTTTGATTTATTAATGAAAAAACATATGCAGCTCGGAAGCTAAATTGTGTATTTACATGACTACAAACAATAGACCTTACCGATTATTCTATTTTAGTATAATTACATAGGTGATTATTGAAAATTCTCCACGCTGATTGGTTGCCGTTGAGGTGATTATTACGCGATAATCACCTAAGCGATTTTCAAAATGGCGGCCAAAGTTTTTTGTCAATTAAATGACGAAGAAATGTGTATTCTCTTATTTTTTTCCAAATAATCACCTATGAAATTATACTAAAACAATTATTCACCTCAGGCTCGGTGATTATCGTGAATAAAAACCTCGACTTCGTCTCGGTTTTTATTCACCGATAATCACCTCGCCTTCGGCGAATAATTGTTAATTACCCAATGGTTCCATTTCTATGTTAACTTATTTTAGCATGTCAGGGGCAAATAAAGATTATATTCCTATGTTTTCCAGGACAAAGTTGTTTCTTGTTGTTCTTAGGCTCAATAACAAAGTAATTTTCAACCCTACTAAGCACAAAACATGAGTAAGTATTTGACTTGAAAACGAGGCCATTGGGGAAAAATAGAAGAATCGGTACAAGGTCTATTTGTTTAAATTCTAAAATTATTACAGCAATATGATAAAATTTACTAATAGAACTTAACTTGACTTTTGACTCATATAAAAGTATCTCAAACCGTGCTGAGTTCAAATCCTAACAGTTAATTAATTATCTTCAAAGTTATATAAACATATCTGGATTAAAAGTACTAGATAAAATGATATATAATATAATGTCATCGAGATCAACCATTTCCAATGGTGGAAGATATAACAAGTCTGTAATTATACAAGCCTATAATATAAGTCTGGCAATTATACAAACCGTCAACAAGTTATGTTCGTACTGCTTGTCCCAAGTTATCAACAACTTGTTGACAGTTGTACAACCTTGTTGATATTATCAGACTTGTTGAAAGGTTGTTCCAAGAAGTCTGATACAGTCATGGTATGACAAGTTACAACTTGCGTTGTCAACCTTGTATGATATTCTTGTTATATCATCACTGTAATCAGACTTGTTAGAACAACCTTGTAGCAAGTCTGATAATGCCATCAATCTTCTTACAATTTGGTAACAGCTTGTTCCAAACTGGTTTCAACAACTGGGAACAAGCAGTGCGAACACAGCTTGTCGATAGCTCGTGAACAGATTTGTAACAACTTGTGCGTTTTTACGTGTGCATGCTTGAATTCTCTATTCTCATTTGACCAGGGCTAAACGTATACATACGATCAGGATCTTCGTTGGAAGTTTTTCAGTTTTTCTGGAATACTTTAACCAATTTCTTGAATTTTTGCTTTAGACTCGCCTACCTGTGTATGTTTCCCATACGCCTGCTGGAACATCAGCAAAGAATATCATTCACTATGGCCAGGTAATAATGAATGTGACGTAGATGTTTATATTTCGTTACCCTGCTGTTATATTTCTTTGTCCTGGACCCTGCTCAGACCACTTCTCCTCCCTTGAATTTTCGCCCCACCCCGTGCAAAATCAGAAAATTCGCCAATGGTTAATACCATTCTGTGTCGTTGTTTTATAGATGGTAGAATCAGGAAAATGTCAAAGATTCAACTATTATGATGAAAAGGAAAATTTAGTCCACTATAACAAGGTATTTTCAGACAGAAGCATGTACATTTCCAGTAATCCACCCTATTGTGTTGAGGCAATCTTTTTCATTGTGTATTCGCGATGAAAAGTGTTCAAAATCTAAAATCTTTTTGGCGTTCCTCTCAAAATTAATATTTTACAGTATAACTGTAAATCTCGATCTCAGAAGATCAGATTTTGTGCATGTAATTTTATGTGTTGATTGGGATTGTCCAGGTGTCAGCAACCCGGGAAAATTTGGGGTCGCAGAAATGACATTTTCTGCACACTGCGAAGTTGAGACCAATGGTTCAGGCTATTCTTTCAATCTTTCATGGGGGAATCGATGTGCCTTAGGGCAAATCCGATTCCTTGGGGTTTGGGGAAATTGCCCACCGAGTTCTTCATATAGTTAAGAAAGGCTATGGAAGACTCAATGCCTTTTTATTTTCTTAGACTGAGCCACCTACGTTCAATATGTCCAATGTTCGAGTGCCCACAGTCCTATATTACGGTAGCAATGACTGGCTGGCTGATCCACACGATGTAACATTACTAGCTAAGGCTCTGCCGAACGTCGTGCACATTGAGGAAATACCCAAGTGGGAACATCTCGACTTCATATGGGGCCTCGATGCCGCTAGATTGGTGTACAAACCCCTTATAAAATATTTGAATCAATTTTCTGGAATGGAGAAAAAATCTTGAAATGCTTTTCGAAATGCCATATGGCCGATTTACATTACACAACTTTTGCCTAAAATTGTCGCATGCAACCTGCTTGTAACTTGAGTTGTAGTCTGTAAATCAAGCACACAACTCGCCAACGTTGTATGCGACAATTTTAGGCAAAATTTGTGCAGTGTAAGTCGGCCAGTCGAGACATGGTCTACAAACTTGTCCGAAATCTAGATCTTTGTTTTATCTTTTTGTTCAAGTCCCATGCATCTTTTCCTTGATACGTTTTCCTTTACAGCTTTTATTTGTTCCTGGTAAAAATTAACAATCGTTTCTTGAAAATTAAGGAGCCTTGTTCAAAAGCTGGCCATTCCAGCTTTTGACGCAGTTTCCAGATCGTGTTTTGATTGACTATGCTTGGATATAAGAAACTTGCTAATAGAAGTTTTGAATTTTAAGCTATGGAAAAATCAGCTGCCGTTTGTTTACGTCGTTGCTACCCAATCCTTTGGATAACTCACGGGCATAGTTATACTATTGCTCTAGTTTACCATAGCCTATCGAAGGCAAGATGGCTGTGAAACTTATTACAATAACAATATAACTCATATGTTAGTCAAAGTTTATTCACAAATATGTACTTAACCGTCACGTGTGTATTGTATTTTTTGCCAGATTCATCAACATTTTGCGGAAAAATTTCTGCTTTCCGGGAAAAAAATTTGAGGGGGCCCCAAAAATGAAGGGTCCCAAATTTTTTAATTAACCCCCCCCCCCCCCCCCTCGGGACGGCCCTGTTTCCAATTTACCCTATTGTTTGAGTCACAGATAAGTAACTTTCCTAAAACATTGCTATTGGTTATACGGTGACAATATACAATACGCACGTGACGGTGAAGGACCAGATTTATGAATAAACGTTGACTAACATAGATAATGAGTTATATTGTAATAATTCTAATGAGTTTCACAGCCATCTTCCCTTCGATAGGCTATGAGTTTTCCAACAGCGCTAGCATAAAGAATAGAGCAAAGGTAACTAAGCATTAGAATTATGGGTAACAGTTGTTCACTCATTTAGATAATCCTGTCGCCTAGATACTTTTGTGCTGTTCAATGCTTGCATAAACTGGAACGTTAGTAACTAGGCATATGAGTTATTAAAAGTTGTGGATTGATATAAACAAACGGTAGCCGATTTTGCCTAATAAATTTCCCTCATTCATTACGTGATTAGTTTGCAGAAAATCGAAGGGATATATAATATATTATAAGAAATTATTATTATTGCTGATATTAAAATATAACACTGTACTTTGTGTTTGATACTTTGGCAAGAACCGTCAGGGCTTTACTATGCCCCCAAAGAAACCTTGGCTTTTTTTAATGAACTCCCGCGAATCCCAGTCTTTTCACGCATGCGAAGAGCGCCGTTCAATCAGTCAATCGTGATATAAACACGCGTGGTCTTACCTCTAGACACGCATGTCTGAAGGCAAGATTTGGCTTCAAGAAAAAGATAGGCAGTTTATCTGAAGGTAGCGTTCCAGTTATATGCATTTCAATGCTCTATATTGGCCGGCCGCCTTGTTGGTAAGCCTAAGCCGACAAACCTTAGAAAGTAACGAAATACTTCGCCACAAAATGAAAATAACGAAGTAAAACGTTACTTCTTAATTGAAACGACTTCGTTCCAAGTAAAAGTACTCCAGAAAAAGTTTACTTTGTTTACATGCTGACTTCTCAAAAATAGTACTCAAGTACTGTAACGATGTACATTTACTTCGTTAATTGACACCACTGTCTACATGTATGTATTACATCAGTTTCCCAACTTTTGTTTAATTTTACGTGATTTATTCGGGATTTATTTTAATTTTGGGATAGGTAATGATAGGTAATAGGACCTCTATATGCGTCTGGGACCTCTTGTTTGTGGCTTATTTATAAGCATTATTTATTTAAAGGATTTCTTATAACTTCTATATGGAGTCTGCAAAGTAGACCATGCCGTGAAATATTGTATATTACAGGTGCGCGCATATAATGCGTGTGCTGTTTTGTGTCTTTTGTATTATTTATGTCAATCCATTGGAGAACACCTACACAGTACTTTTACTTTTTACTTCAAGTATTTTATAAGGATAGTTTGTACTTTTCACTTAAGTACGTTTTGCCTCCAGTACTTTTTACTCATACTTAAATCGTTTTATTGTTAGTTACTTCTACTTTTACTCGAGTACATATTCAAAGTAGTTTAGGCACCACTGCATGTAGATCAATTCTTATTGAAACCACACGACTTCCTTGTGTGGGGGATTGGTGTTAGCTGAGAAAGATCCAGACACAGACCTCTGAACTGGCGAAAAATCAGGTCATTTGCCTACCTTAAACGAAAACAGGTCTGTAAACTTCAGTCTTCAATAAAATTCAAGTTTTCATGAATTAATCGAAAATACCAAGTTCCCGGACCAACTGCCACTGCCATGGGCTTTTTATGTCTGCTCAGCATATTGCAATACTAATCTAACCTTTTTTCTTCAAACTGTAAAAATGAAGTGCAGATGCCTATAGGTATTCCCGTTCTCATTCTATACTGTAGTTCTGTATAAAACTATGTACAGACTGCAGTCAATCATATTAAATCCTGATGATAAGATGCTATATACAGTGTTGCATATCGATAAAGACACTACTAAAACTATTTTCTTCAGTGGTGATTCCAGTCTTATTGTACGGTTGTGAAATCTGGGGAGTGTGCTTATTGGGAAGAATCTCCTCATATGAACTTTTTCAAAAGAAATTGTTTAGCATCGTAAATAAACTGGAGTCATTACAGCTGAAATTTTTTAAACGTATTCTTGGAGTTCATTCTAAAAGCACAAATCTGGCTATCTATGGGGAACTAGGTAGAGTTCCTTTGATAGTACAGATCTCTACTCTAGCTACAAAATATTGGTTACGTATTAAAACCCCTAGTTATATAAATACTCTGGTGGGTAAAGCAGCACGCTTTAATATTCGATCCAATTCTCAGGCCATTACTTTTATAAACTATATATTAAAAGTAAGTGATTTGAGATCGCTAGACCACATTTATTTAGAACTTGAAAGTTTGAAAAATTTAGGTAAATATATAAAAAATAGACTAGTTGATTACTTTATTAATTACTGGAAAGGTCAATTTCAAGAAAGTCGTTCTAATGGTAAATTAAGAACTCTCGTACAAGTTAAGAATAATTTCAGATTCGAGGAATACCTTCACGTAATTTGTAATGTCAAACATCGTCAGGCAATAACGAAATTAAGAATATCCGCACATAAAATTAAAATTACCAGTTGAATCTGGCCGATATAACAAAACCCCTACAATGAGCGAAAGTGCACGTTATGTCAATCAGACGAAATCGGCGATGAATTTCACTATTTAATGTCATGCCCCAATAACGAATTTGTAAAACTCCGAAATACTTTTGTAACAGATATATGCAAAATCAACTCATCCTTCCGTTCAATTGATACAAAAAACTTATTTCTATATATACTAAATGTACATGATAAGTCTATCATGAAAATAATTTCAATATACTTTCATGATACTCTCGCAATGTACGATAGTCTTTTGTAGAATTTCTAGCTTTAATATTATAATACCCAATAGTTTATTAGATTTTATATTATATTATATTATATATTAGAGTTAATCAATATTAGTACGCATGTCGCACTCCTAACCATGAACTATATGGTACGTACTTTATTGTTTAGTTTACAGTACATTAGGTACTTATATGTAAATGTTTTCATATATGCCTGTTTGGTATTTGTTGTTATTGAAATATATTATTATTATTATACACTTCGTAATTTAAATACAGTACATAAGGGAGTACATGATATTTCAATTTCATTGTAGACTACAAAATGATTGAGTTCAATGATTTGGTTTCTTGCACTTCATTTGGTGGAATTAATATTAAAATGTTAGGGTTTGTAATCCAACTCCAAGTGAGTATATATACATTTTAAGACCTGACCAGGAACGACTACGAATAATGCAGCACAAGGTCCTCTGGTAGGAATTGAACCTACAGCCCTGCGATTCCGGTGCAGCGCTCTATCCAACTCAGCTACAGAGGCCAGCTGTTGAGCGGTAACAGTACGTTCATGTATACAGGGTGTATATAACTGCACAGATTTGAAATTGCTCTTAAATTCGCAAAACAGCTATTAGTATCCAGTTTTTTATGTATATAGCTTCTTTGGGTACTTATAATGTAGAAAAATGAAAAAAATTTCTCGAACTCAAATTTTGTAAACCAGGGTGTGTGTCTTTTCCAACAAACTAAAAATGGCTTGCGCACGAAATTTAAAAGCTTTAATCATATTTTGAGTTGATAGATGGAACATTTGTTGGGTTTTTAATTACTGTACAAAATTTCAGACAATTTGCTTTAGTTTAAGCCTTTAACTATTCATTTTTCTCTAAGAAATTAATGCCTTTACCTAATTTGCATATTGCTGACATATGCAAATTAGGCAAAGGCATTGATTAGCATGCAAATGGTGATTTTTTAAGAAAAAATGTAAGTTTGCGTGAATGGTTAAAGGCGTAAACTGAAGCAAATTGTCTGAAATTTTGTGCAGTAATTAAACACCCAACAAACTTTCCATCTGTTAACTTAAAATATGATTAAAGCTTTTAAATTTCGTGCGCAAGCCATTTTTAGTTTGTTGGAAAAGTTCGAGAAATTTGAGTTCGAGAAATTTTTTCCATTTTTCTACATTATAAGTACCCAAAGAAGCTATATACATAAAAAACTGGATACTAATAGCTGTTTTGCGAATTTAAGAGCAAATTTCAAATCTGTGCAGTTTTTTTTATACACCCTGTATATAGGTAATCGGGTGTGCGGGTTGTGATAAGGTGGACTTCAATGATTTGGTCAGGTCTTAAAATGTATATATACTCACTTGGATTACAAACCCCAACATTCTAATACAAAATGATTGGAATAGCAAAATGATATCTACCCTTGCATCTACGACGTCATATTCGTTTCCACCTTCTGCTAAAAGATCTAACATTTTTTCTGCCGCTTGTTTCTTTGCGGCCTTTTTACTGGAAGCTACACCCTTGCACTGAAGGTCTGACATCATCTGTATATAACACACATAACATACAGTCGTTGATTTGAAATGAGGCATTAATATGAATACTGTATGCATGAAAAACAAGGTTTGGACATAATATTATATAATTGTCAAAAAAGTGGAGAGAGAAGTCCCCCTACGTCACTGGAGTGATGCCTTTGAAGACTATGAAGATAAAATATTCTACTTTATTATTTTGCCCTAGTTTGAAATTATTATTATTTTTACTTGTCAAGGGGAGAGAGTTGGCGTTCAATGGGTTAAACATAGGGCACTTTTCATTCAATGGCATGACCGGTGAGACCCGAATTTGTGTCTCTGTATTACTGGAAAGATTTGGTTTATGTTTTTCAAATACTGTATCTATTTTAGCAAAAATGGACATAATTCTAATTTTCTGGTCAGATAGGTTGAAAGTGATTGTTTTTACGGTATATGTGAACATGAATATATGAATATACCTCCCCCCAATTATCGCATGTAGCTACGGCCCTGTGTTCTAACTGGTCATGCCGTGTTAATGAAAGCACCCGGTTTTGGACTCAGCTAAAGTTATTTAAGACAATGCCACTCTGAATTGTTCCACACACCTGTCAGGCTGAAAATCATTTACCCTCGGTCATCTTAAATGAGAAAATGAATAATGTCTAGATGCAATCATGATACTAAAACGTTTTTCAAATGAATCCAATGAATATGGAATGTACAAAAGGTCTGTGCTGATTGAAGAGAAAATTCCATTTTATAACATAGCAAATGACTCGAAAAACATGTACGCCTTACAACAACTACTTCCTAAAAAGAGCTAGATTTCAAGAGAAAGTTAACATTTTTTGGTTCCCTAAAAGTTAATTATTAATAACTGATGAACTTAAGTCACAGTGCATCCCCCACACTACTTTATTATTTTACTCTGTTTAATTTATGCCAGATAATTTTACTTTAGTTATCAAGGGGAGATCTCACACTCAGGCAATCAATGTGCTAAGGAATCAAAGTTTTTTTTTAATGGCTGATGTTATGTTCTGATCGGGATTTTATACAGTATATATTTATAATAATTCTTACTAATAATTCCACCACATTTTTTAAGCAATTTTTCAACTTGCCTGATCAGTACAAGCTCAGAGTAGCATTATCTTAAATATTTGAATCTTATTTCGGTCGGTAACAAGAACCAAAAGTGGTCCAAAACACATTATGTTTATAGAAAAGCTCTTGGTTGCAAATGGAGTCTCATAAGGCCAAGTACTGGGACCATGCAGTGTTTTAATAAATTCCTTCATCAACAATATGTCATGATTGTAATCAAATAATTGTTAAGGTGCTGTAAGTTACACTGTGAAATTATGTTGCAAAACAGGTTGCACACAAAATTGCAATGTGCAACATGCCTTGCAACCATAAAAGATTGTTGAATCAGGTTCCACTTTTCACAAAGATGGTGGCAACGCTGCAACACATTCATTTGTTAAATGACTAATCACTGATATGATTTTTGGTATGTGTAATATTTAGGTTATTCGAAGAAGAAATGTAATATATCTTTATAATAAAAAAATCCCATCTTGATAAACTTTTTCACTGTCAAAGTCTGCGGATATGATGTCGTTAGGTCAATGTTGCAAATTAGTTTTCCTTTGTTTTTTGTACCAAAAATTCACCTAATGACATCATATCTGGAACTTTGAAAGTGAAAAAGTTGATCAAGATGAGGTTTTTTACCATAAAGATACATTACATTTCTTCTCAGAATGACACAAATATTACACATACCAAAATTTTATTTGGGGTTATAAGTCGCACTTTAAGCATTTCACAGTGTAACGTCCCTCTTGCAACCTGTTTTGCAATGTTTCCTCACTAAATAGCTTGCAATTGGCTTTTTAGCATTTGGGGTTTTCATGCTATGTTTAACCATGATCATTGCAAGTTGCATGAAACATATTGCTTGTGTAACATCATTTGCAATACAACGGTGAATTTGTTTTTCTTAACAATGCAAGACAAGTTGCACAGTGCAACAGTGCCTTAAGCAATGGCAATGAAATTAAATAAAGTTTACACTACCTTGACGAGACAAGTAAATGTTTTAGAATGTGCCTGTCCTGTTGGTTCTTCATATTTATATACAGGCAATTCCCATCTGTTTTTAACTGCCAAATTTTGTAGTTCACCAACAACATTTCTATCGTATGGTGAGTCTGATGTGCTGCTACTTAGCGATGGGCTCTGAAAATAGATTTGAATACAAATTTCGAATGTTGGAGCGCTAGTACTTGAAAGCATGTACTAAAACCCGAAACAACCGGAGCGAAACCAACAGAACGAAACCACCAGAACGAAACCACCGGAACAAAACCACCGGAAAGAAACCACCGGAAAGAAACCACCGGAACGAAACCACCGGAACAAGAATCGGAGAAGACCGAAACCACAAAAACCAAAATTGAACACAGACTTCCATCTCCTTGACCTTCCAACTTGTATTTCCCGTGCAATTTTACGAATTTACGTTATCGTAAATTCGTAATGACAAGCATGGAAGACATGGAAAAGCTAAACGAAACAAGGCTATTTTCTTTTCAAATTTGCATGAAAACAGTACAATTTAATTGTTTAATATTCAATTCAATCAGGTGAAAACTAGGCCGTATTAATTGTTTTGTAGATTCTATTAAAGGCGAGGGACATTAGAGAAGAAAATTAGAGAAGAAAAAAGCCAGATGTGTACAGCGTGATTTTCTCATGCTCACTAAAATCTGTGAAGTAGTAGCCAATTTTAGATGTTTAATTTAGATTCACTGTCTGTATGAGACCTAAATAACTATCGTTCCGGTCGTGTTCTACTACTTTGTTCCGATCATGTTCGATTTTGGTTTCGGTGGTTCCGGTCATTTTCGATTCTTGTTCCGGTGGTTTCGTTCCATTTGTTTCGGGTTTTAGTACATGCCATACTTGAAGGAGAAATGTATAGAATACAAATACATTGCTACATGACATTTCATAGAGCATAAATTATCCATTGATCCTAGTTATTATATTTTTATCAATTTTTTCATCTACATATTTGACAGATATGGGGCCATGCAGAAACAAAATCGGGTATACATAAAGTGCGAGCCAGCGAGCCATGCCGATATTGCGAGACAACACAGATCGATGCGAGCCACGCGATGTATGCGAGCCATGTGCAATAAATAAATATAAGACTAAATTGGTCTTGACCAAATGGTACTGAGTACATCTTATCTCCAGGACACAATAAGCAACTTGCGTGTTAGACTAATTTTTGATCTCTTAAAAATGGCTGGAATAAAAAATGGCTGGAAAGCAATCAATTAATTATATGCATATTCAGCCATATTCCCCGCTCCCAGTCACAAATAATGACACGCCTATTCATAGAGCTGTTCCCGATTAATCGATCAATCGATTATTTTTCCACAATCGATTATGCTTAACAGTAATCGAATCATCTATAACACCACGCAGCGTGATGCGCAAATGAGTTAATTACGACTGCTGCGAAAATATCTTTAAAGTTTTTTACTAGAAGAATTTATTCCATTTGCGTCCAACATTGCGACGTGCGGACATAAACCAGTTATCCACAAGAGTCTGAGTCTCGCAAATTTAGTAAAGTTTAATTACAATTTACGAACCAGTCAACCACCATGGGCTTGTCATATTTAAATTAATTATCAATGCGATTAATCGATATTAATCGATTGTTGACAACGATTAATCGATTACGAAAATTAACCGATGGGAGCAGCTCTACCTATTCAGCCGTATTCCCCGCTCCCTCATTACAATGTTGTTGCTACAGATACCGTAATACTGTAGTTGCCATGACTGAAGAGATCAACATTGTTTCAGGGGAGGGGGGACCGACTTTACGAAGTATACATATATGAAAATGTTTAAAACAATTTATTTGCCATGTTTGTCCGACTAAATTTGTCTATGATTGTAGGTAAAGAAGCCATTAAACTTCCTGTAAAGAACTTGTTAAAACTGGTGAAAATGCAAAGTTTGGTTAGTGCGAATTGTTGTAGAATACGGAAGGTGTAGCCTTGCGGGGTTTGCATGCATGTTTTGTATATTTTACAATATTGTATTTGCCGAAAATGCTAACAACTTCCGCACGTAATAGAAACATATGCAAGGCTTGCAAACTTTGCAGGACTGTGTTTACCAGGGTTTGCAACATTTTGCGGCCGAATTTTGCGATTTTGCTAATTTCATTATGTTCTTTTTAGCTGTGGTATTTGATTCCCTTCTCTTTCCTTGGGTTAAAATTTGGTTTATTAATTAACATGCAGGTTGTCCATTAGATCTTACAGGTGTAAAACACCTTATAATTTGTTATTGAGTTATTTGAGTTATAAAATTCCTGTAATTGAAATTGGGTTCTTGATTATGTTTAGATTTCGTTTCTGAATTTTGTCTATTATTTTACTAATATACAGTCTTACATTTCACTCGTTAACCATTTTAAATAATGGCTCACACCTTGGCTTGCACTCTGGCGCATGGCTTGCACCTTGGCTGGTATGGCTCGCACCCTGGCTCGCACAATATTGAAACTCAACAAAATCTTATGCTCAAATTAGTTTATACTAAAAATTTTGTTTGGACAGTCAGCACACAAGTTACAGCAGTTTGAAAAAAAGGGGACGGGTTGGGTTCCGTAGCCCCTGATCACTGGTGTAGGGGCATTTGATTTTTTGGGCATTTGATTTTTTGAGCAAATGTCCCACCGTCGGGCAATAAATATTGGTCAAATGCACCACCATTTTGCAATATAAAATTACAAAACATGTAAATACTATATTAATAAAAGTCATTTGATCAAATTGCCCCAACTTGTGGCCAAAATGCTAATCAAAAGGGTTTTCCAGGACTAAAATAAAATTCCAGGGTTTTCCAGGATTTCCAGGGGGCATATGAACCATGAATACCCCACATATGCCG